ATTATAGCTAAGAGAAACTATAGCTTAAAGAACTTACAAAAGTGGAGACGGACTCAAGAAGCAAAAGGTTTAAAATATGGCATCTATGGGTTTCCTGTCCGCAATCTTCCACAGTGGCAACACCATAGCCGTTCGGATATAATTAAGCGATTGTTTGTAAACACAATGAAGCCGACTTTACTTAGTAACAAGGCAACACACTTTAACTTTACTCAACACACACACACTACATGACTACGACATACACAATGTACAATTAGCCAATTGACTTCAGTAAGTCCGGTTGATACCGGTATCAAATATATTAGTTTATATCAGATAAAACAAAAAAGAGTGACGAGGAACATATTTATTTTCAGTAGTTTTTAAAATGTTGTATAGATTGATATATATGATTTGTCACAGTCAATTCCTGTTTTGAATACTAATATGTTGCAAATTGCAAATAAATATCCGTGAAAAATCGAGTTCATTAGAAATGGTTAATTGTTTTTCTGCCTCAGTTTTCAAATATCACGTTTTTAATTATTTAAAATAATTGTCGGTCTAGTTTTATTGAATATGATTCAACATTGGTAATGCGTTTAACATTACAGTTTTCGGAAAAATAAGATTTCTAGTATTAAAAGTTTTGTTTTTAATATGTTTTCTTTTCTCTCATAGCCTTATATGTTTTCAATAATGTCTTTCTGGGTGTGTCAAAATTAGTTTGGCGTTTGATGAATTTTCCCTCGAGATTTAAATGTATTATTAATGTATTTACGTGGTCCGCTCATTCAAGACTCGTTTTGTCACCAACACAAAGTATATATCCTCTTCATTGCAGCATTTTTTACATTGGTTAAGTTAGTGTCGATAACTAATATGAAAGTGTTCAGATGAGAAAACAGTGAACCAAGTCAACCACAATCAAAATTTAATAAACTTCTCTTAAATAAGGAGGATATAAAAATAAATCATAAAAGGTAGAAACTGGGTTGGGAAAAAAGGCGCATGAATCAAAATTTGACAAACATGAAAAACACATGAAAACAACAATAATAATAATAAAAGCAAGCGAAGAAGTTAATGATTATTGTTAAGAAAATAAAGGACGTTAGTGACATTAAGAAAGGAAAAATAAGGGATTGGTAAGATAAAGAATGTGAAAAAGTAGCAGAGTTCGTAAGAAAAGCCAGGCAAAACATGGTAATAAAGGAAACTGGAATAACAAAACAGCTTCTAAAGATGCAAGATCAGAAATGAAAAACTATTTAGAATACATACCATAATCAAAGTGTACATATTAAAAAGGAATAAGGAATGCTAATAAGTGGGACGTCAGAGGTACTGGAAAGGTAGAAGAGCAACTTCTGACACTGAAAAATAAGAACAGGATTGGCACAGAATATGGCACAAGAGATAGAAGGAAGGAAATGCACTGGAAATAGAGACACCTTGTAAACAAGGAATAAGAAACATAATTAAAAATTTTAAAAATAATAAAGGTCCTGCAGCGACATCAAAAACCTCTGAACTGATAAAAGAAAGACGAGAACGACTATGTAAACAATTGCATTTGCTTTAAGAAGATCTGGAAAGATGGAAAAATAACGGAAGACTGGATGATATCAATAATGCGTCCTATACATAAAAAACAACTATGCTAAAATTAAAGAGGCATTGTACTACTAAAAACATTCATTATTTTTAATGGCAATTAACCAGAATTTCAGTTAAAGACATTCATTAAACGTTTCGATTTTCACGTCGGAAATCTTTTTTTATTACAATATAATATAGACAAACGTGCAATAGGTAGTTGTAATAAGCGGTTTTTTAGTTTAAATAATGAAAAAACGTACTGTTTTGTAACATGTGATTTTGTAAATTGTAGTTTTAAGCCTTAGGCGAGTTATGAGATTATAAGATACGCCAGTTTTGATATTCAAAATCTGCTTAGTAAATTATATTGGTACATACACAGGTTTGCAAATAGCCTGCCGGATACAAACCTATAGTGACAGACGGGGTAGATTGGGTAGATCGGGTAGACCCCGTTTCAGATGAGTTTTCACCTGATATACAGTTGTCATAATAGTATATATATTATAATATAATGATATATACCATAAACCATAAGTACAAATAATCCTTTCTCCTTGTTTAATAACTTTTTTCTGTTATTTTAACATTGTACAACAGTTTAAAAACTGTCATTTTTTTATGTTATTCGGAAGATTGTTTTCTTCTCATATTTCGTTTTTAATCTTCATTCAACAACTTGTCTTTTGATTGTACGGGTTTGTTTTCTATTTGCTGTTTGTTTTTTAGCTTTGCTATTTTGTTTCCCGTCTTTGATGTTTAAACACGAGTCCGAATGTTACCGTTTTAAAAAACAGCGATATAATGATCTTAACTATATATTACACTGTGATAATCATACTCTTCATCAATCCTTGTACAAATATAGATCTAAAGTTAAAGAAATGTGTATAATCTGATATAGTAACACTGTTAGCACATCTGCTCGCAACATTTGCATCATTTAAAATTAAAATTTAATTGTGGATGTCTATCTAACAGTGTTGCTAAGTATAATTTCCGCTCTTAAGAGTTTTTCTTTTGTTATAGCAGCCTTCGGATGCGCGGCAACCCTTATATTTAAATTATATTATTACGATTGGAATGATAGGGAACCGGACGTGCTTGATTTCGCGAGGAGGAACTGTTCAATGTGAAAATTTTATCGATTTTAGTTCCAAGGTTTCGTTCAATATAAAGAAGATTCAAGTTTTTACACATTGCATTCGATATTGTATGAGGGGAACGACGACATTGTTCATGTTATTGGGTCAAGGACATTATTGTATATTTTACAATGTTTGAAAATAAAATTACGGAAGTTGTAGAAAACCCATATTTGTTTATTGTACTCTATAACTTACGACTGTTAATACAATATTTACATCTTTAGGAAACATCTTACTATAACTAACAACGTATTTCTAAAACATCATATTAAAATTTATTTTAATGAAGAATATTGTACACTATAGGAAGCTTATATTTTCTTCTACAAAGTATCTATCGTCCAATTCCAGAATTTCTTATAATAGCGAATAGATAAATCGCCCGTCATATATTTAATGATTAATGACTTCAGATTTATTCCTAGTATAGAGATTTAATACATTTCAGATTCAAAATAAACGTTTTCTGTTTGGTTAGCATAATGTTTGTGTAAAAAATAAATCTTTTAGCAAAAAGCTGCTATCTCTTTGTTGTATTAAATTGCCCAAATATATGGCCTAGGAGGACAAATTCGTTAAACTTCCCATGTTCCCCGTTCTTTACACATTTCGCATAGCCCAGAGGTAGAAAACGATGTGATTATATCGTTTTCGTTCACGGCCGCCAAAGCAGGTGGCGCCTCTGCTCGCAAACCACTGCAGTGGTGAAGTTTTAGGAGACATTCGTTCTACTTTCCGTGTTTGAATTTGTATCAGCCCAAGTGTCTGATGAGGCTGGGATAGGCCGAAATGAGTCATAACACTTTATTGATACCGATTCGAACATGAATGATGTTTTTTTGATGTTTAGCTAAATTTTTTAGCTAAAATGTAATTTTCATTACAGTCAATTGTGGCCCATTCCCATAAAAACATATTCATGTGCATTGTCTGAATAAAATCTAAAAAATAATCAATTCTGTCACAAGTAGATATCGTATATTCCCACCAGATATTTCGTTTGAATATTAATTAAAATAACTAAAGAGCCCAAAAATTACTGGCCTATCCCAATGTTGATTTAATATAGCAATTATATGATTCATAGCTTTTTGCGTAAAAATGACAAGGTCGCAAAATTATATATTTCAATTTAAGTGTGGGTTGAAAAGTTGATGAAATGTACTAATGAGAAAAAGTCATCAACAAAAATGCCTAATGATTTTATAAGAACACAATAAAATAATTACCCTAACTAAACGCTTTATTTTTATAATGATTTTCACATTAATATTATATGTAGTAATTTTCATTGGGGATAAAATTGTACGTATTCCATTTTTGTTAGTACTTGCGATTTTATGCTGACAGTCTATGTTCAGTTCCATATAGTTAGTGCATCCAAAGTTGAGTCGACGGTACATTTCAAAAATAATACTAAATACAGCTAAAGGCGACAATAATAATTGACATTGTATTTGCATTGCAATGCATCCATATACCCGACTAGATAGGATATTTTTTAACTCGATAAATAACCCTTATTATTTTTAATTGGAAATTATTAGTTGTAACTTTTGAGTTTTATAAGTTTTCAATAGATGGCGGTTAATATGATACCTACAGATTAATAGATAGTGCTGTATTTGAATTTTCATTGTACCGTGTGTTATTTTGTATATTTTTATTAACAATATGAAAAATTCTGAAATTTTTTACACTGTAATATCAGTTTATTTTCAGTGGTAATTTTTAAGTTACGTTTATCGATATAAAAATTCAAGTTGTACTTGACTTTGAGATAAATAAAGTGTAAAATTGCAAAATTTTTTGGTCGGTGTTGAAATTGCTAATTTCACAACACAACCCTTATATGGATTTCGTGATATTTACTTAACTGTAATAATTGAACATAAGATAAGTCGTATAATAACCATGACATAGATAGAGAAGCGAGAAGCTATGGATTATCCTTATTGACTACCAAATTGCGACTTAATTTTCTAACCTAATACCAGCAAACTTTATTAAATCAATACCTAGCTCAAAAAGGGGGCTAATTACTTATTTCCTGTTAGAATTTGCATACTCACCCTCTTTGTAAATCAATAAAACCTGAGTCATATGTTACCCTTACTATTACCATGAAAATTCATATAATTATTCTTTCCACGTTGGTTTAAATGCTGAATAAATAAAAATTTACTAGAAATAAACTAAAATAGATGTCGTTATTTATATTTTTTCTTGTATACTATGTGTACTTATTATGCTCTTTTTTGTTTCCAGCCTCTTCGAACAGGAGATAATGTCATATGTCCCTGCAATGACGGTGGATAACAGAGCCAATTCTACCGCCAGAAGTCCTCGGGGGTCCCCACAGCCATCTCCCATAGCTTCTCCAGGTCTGAGTAGGCATAGAGTTACCGCACCTCACAAGAGGGACTTTGAGGCTAAGCTCAGGAATTTCTACAGGAAGTTGGAGAGCAAAGGATACGGACAAGGACCCGGAAAGTTCAAGTAAGTTACGTTCAAGTAGTTGATAAAAAATAAATAAGCAATAACAGTAAACTGAAAATATAAATTTTGTACAAAGTTGCCTTCGTACTTTACTAAAACGATTAATTTTAATTCGGTTCCTATCGAAAAACTCCTACCCTGATTCTGTTCATAACAACAGGACTGTCGATAAAAAAAGTCCTAACAAACGTTTCTATCTTCTTTTGGCTGCCAAGCTCTCCTTAGCTATGAATCCCCAAAGGAATAGTAATTTAAAACCGTAAAATAGTTTCGAAACACAATTCAGATTTCCGCTTTAATCTGTGCTTTCTAAAAATTGCAAAGCAAAACAGACGTTGATAAAGGTGTTAAAAGCGACGTGGGAATCTAAAATTTGCATTCCACGACACGTCTTTTCAACTAAGCAGAAATCCTGATGAGAGGACATAAATACGCATTACTTCAAAATATAATGCAGGGAAAAATAGAAGGAAAACGGAATCCAGGCCGTAGAAGAATGTCATGGTTGCGGAATTTGAGAGAGTGGTATGGCTGCACCACTAATGAACTCTTTAGGTCAGCCGTAAACAAGGTCAGAATAGCCTTGATGATTTTCAATCTCCGATAGGAGCGGCACAAAAAGAAGAAGAAGAAGAAATCCTTAGCGAATTGGTTTCTAGTACTCGTACAGAGTAGATCCAAATAAAGTGAAAATACAGCAAATATTTGATTTCACGCAAACAGCGCCTTTGTATCTGTTGATACGTATTTCGACCTAATAGGTCTCATCAGAACAGTTATTCAAAGGTGTTTGAACACCTAGTAGGTCTCATCAGAACACCTTTGAATAACTGTTCTGATGAGACCTATTAGGTCGAAATACGTATCAATAGATACTGTCTTTTCACTTTATTTGAATAGTAATTTGTTACTACTTACACTTACCACTTACACTGTTTTTATTTTTATTTACACCATTTTGTCACAAATTAAAATTTTCTTTCACCGATCAAAAAAAAAACTTTCTTTTTTCTTCTTCTTCCTCAGCTTTTCCCTTTTCAGGGGTCGCTATTTCTTACTCTTCGTCGCCACTCAATTCCGGCCTTCTTCACTTAAACCTTTCTTTCTCAAGTCCTCTGCCACACAGTCTTTCCATCTTCTCCTCGGCTTTTCTCTACATCAACTTCTGACAGCTCTGTCCTTCGTCCCACATAGTTTTTATTTCTACGTCTGACATGACCAAACCATTGCAGTCTTTGTTCTTGAATATTTTTTGAGACTAGTCACCCCGGCTCTTTCCCCAGTCAAGTCGTTTCTGATACTGTCCCTTCCAGTCTTACCCAACATCCACCATAACATTTTCAGCTGCCTCCATCTTCTTTTCCTGGATCTTCTTTACAGGCCACACTTCACCGCCTTACACCAACGCAGGTCTTACCACACTCTTGTATATCTTTCCTTTCAGTTGTTTCCCGATTTTTCGATCACAAAGTACCCCGCTCATTTGCTTCCAGTTAAACCAAACAGTCTAAATTCGCCTCCTTAAGTTCTCCCTCTTCAATAGCCCTTCTCCAACACTCCTGCTTCTCCTTTAACATTTATTTGTTCTCCTCTGTTTTTTCTTTGTTCTCCTATACTAACACAATATTATCAGTGAAGAGCATTGACCCAGGAGCCTCTTCCCTTACTTTTTCTGTCAGTACATGGACAACAAGATTAAACAGGTGGTGGATCAGTATAGAGCCTGGATGCAAACCAACCGTCACTGGACGTTAAAAAAAACTACCGGCTTTATATTTGTTCTTCTGGATTCGATGATCTCTCGATTAAAGTCAAAACAGCAGATCCCGATCCTTTTGGCTTCCGAACATTTCCTCCAATCTGCCAATCACTTCATAATTCCTTTGTAACCAATTAAACCGTTCTCTCTTTCCCATTCAAAACAAAAAACCAACTTCTCAAAAATCTACTTTCAAATTCCATAATTTCCTACAAAACATACGAAACAAAAGAAACTTTCTACCTTTAATGACCTGTTTTGTTGATAACAAAAAATAAACCTTGAAATACAGGTAAACAGATTCCCATTATGTTATTTCAACGGAACATACTCTATTTACTTAAATTACTTAAAACTAATGTATAACTACTAACAATATATATTGGTCGTCTTCTTCTCTTTTTCTATATTTTATTATTTATTTTACATTTCGGATCATAACAATATATGGAAATATATAAATACGCAATGTACTGAGCACTCCCGTGACTTTTTTAAGGTTAGATACACTCTCGATAAAAAAAATCAAATTAAACTCTGCGAATTTATTCAGCATATTTTATTGCAATAAACTGTTACTGATTTTATAGAGCATTGTAACGTCTTCATTCGAAATTAAAAGATCGATTTCCTTAGTATTCATAAACAATGCAAATAATTCAAATACAAATAAATCAATAACTGATACTGATTTTTTTAAGTTTAAAAATAAGTTATTATGGAAATAGTGTAGAAAAATCCGTTTGTTTGCTATCAGTTTAAAAATTTATTTAAAGTTTATAAAGGCAGCAAGGCTAATATGGTATATTGTTTTATATTCTTTTAAATCGAATTGCTAAAATTCACTTACTGCAGCTTTTATCTTATTTAAATGTGGTTGTTTTTATTGTTCTTCTCTAAGTTGTATTCTTGTGGCATCCTTTAATGTTAAATACTTTATTTTCACGTTCCTGCCTCCATTTCTGTATTTAAGTCGATTGTCGATCAAAATGAATGTGTCGACCTTAATGTTGACACATTGAAAATTTTACAATTGAGTAATTCCCAATAATTTAAGACTTATGATATATAAATTATTGAACTTTAAACTATGTTATGGATTTATTATTTTTTTATTTTTAGGCTCCATATCCGAAGGGACCACCTTCTTGAGGATGCCTTCCGAAGAATAATGTCGGCAAACAAAAAAGAGCTCCAAAAAGGGAAATTGTGCGTGGTGTGGGATAATGAAGAAGGTTTAGATTACGGAGGACCTTCTCGAGAATTTTTTTTCCTGCTTTCCAGAGAACTTTTCAATCCCTACTATGGTCTGTTCGAGTATTCAGCTAATGATACTTATACTGTACAGATCTCTCCTATGTCTGCCTTCGTCGATAACTATCACGATTGGTAAGTCTGGTAGAAATATTTTGTTTTGTAAGAAAGAATTGGAATTTGATTTGTTTAGTTATGTACTATTCTTTTAATGATGTAACGTCAATATTCTTTATTTACTTTCAGCAAATAACTAAGCTATCACGTATATGAAACTTCTAGATTTATTTATATATTTACAGATACTACATAGGCCTGCTACATTATATTACATACTACATACATATTATTAAAAATAATCGTCTTTTAAAACAATATACGCACGCAAACCTTTGTGAATTAGTCTCTTACTCACATGATTTGGTTCCAGTCACTTTTGGATTTCTAAACTTTAAAAAATGGCCCGGCGGATAACGGCTCACTTCGGTTTTGAGCTGAGTTCTTTGACGTTCCAAAGTCCTACTTTTTGCATTTTTTGTAGTATTGAGCTTATAGGAGATCATATATATATATATATATATATATATATATATATATATATATATATATATATATATATAAATAAAATACAAATCTCTCAAATTATTTAGTTTTACGTATCGTATTATATCGTAACCCTCATATCTTCCCCTTTTCACCAAAAAGGCGGCTTGTAGTCTCAGTTTAATATTTAAGAAAAAGTAAAATAGAATTTTTATTTTAGGTTTAGATTCAGTGGCCGTGTTTTGGGCCTAGCTCTAGTCCATCAATACCTCCTAGATGCTTTCTTCACCAGACCTTTTTACAAAGCGTTGCTGAGGCTTCCCGTAGCTTTATCGGATCTGGAAAGCCTCGATTTTGAGTTTCACCAAAGCCTTCAGTGGATCAAAGAGCACGACGTATCCACTCAAGGAGAGTTAGAACTTACGTTCGCTGTGACTGAGGAGGTGTTCGGCCAAGTGTTAGAGAGAGAATTGAAACCTGGAGGGAGAAACGTGCCTGTGACTGAGAAAAACAAAAAGGTAAGGAATCGAAGTAAGGAAGTTACATTGTATTATTTTGGAGAACAATGAAAAGTTGATCAAATAAATCTTTTTTTAAGTGTATTTCCTGAGACTTATTGAATTTAATAAAGTAGAGTATGGTAGTTGTTTCAGTCTAAAACATTAAAGAATTATAAACAATATTTTTACTTTCTGAAGAATAATGTATACAAATATTTTGAAAATTAAACTGTGCTTTCGCTACCAACATAATTAAATTGATGGTTTATATGTAAAAAAAGGATTCCTAAATAGTAGAACTTGGTTCCTAAACTTGGTTCTTTAACTGGAAACTAGATTAATAAGTTTCTTATTTCGGTTAGTCTGGTTAAAATGAGCAATATACAATTAAGGCAGCAGGAAAGAAAATAAAAAATAAAATACGTAGAAATTAAGATATTTATGAAATAAAGTTCTACACAAAATACATAAATGGAAACAAAAATGGTTGAAATCAAAGTAAGAGGAGATGGTTGTGTTAATAGAACTGATTTAAATTATGCCAGAGATAAAACCATTTGCCAACAATTAAACTTTATTAAGTTTTCATTGTAAACTATCAGTGGTACACAAATTCCAGAGGCGGTATATCAGGATCTACATTGACAGCCTTTATTTTGTTATTATTTTCAACAATTTTACTAAAATCTAAATCTCCTACTTCATCTTTCACTTCTAAATACTCATTTTTAGTTTCTATCTTATCCGGTTGAAGTTTCTGTAAAACTTTTTTTTCTGTGTGCAATGGTTCCTTGTAATTTGCTTTGGGTAACTTCAGAACCAGATGTCCAGTAGTTTGAGATCTTTGGGCAGTACTTTTCTCAACCAGTATTTCTTCAGGAAATACGATTTGAAATATTTTTTCTTTAACTGTTATTTTAACATATATCGGCTGCAGATCTACATCAATAAGATTACTGTCCAAAAATTTATACACTGAAACATCTAAAGTGAACTGCCTTGGATCGTCATCGTTAAAAATAAAATCCAGCTTAGCTTGGTTAACATTAAGTGGTCTGCCTTCTTTATTAAAAAGTTTTAGACGTATTTTAGAAGTTTCTTCATAAACATTACAGACATCTCTATCTTTTTTACTTTGTCTTTTTGCCATTTCTATTCTGGTTTCGGGACAATGCTCACTAGTCATCTTCCAAAATTCATCGTTTGAAATACCTGCAATTAAATATTTGGTTACACATGATTTGGTGGCATATATTCTTCTTGAAGTAAATGCATCAAATGTATAGTAAATATTGGCAGTAAAAAGTAACAATTTTATTTAAAAGCTGCAAACCATATACAATATTTAATTTGCCCATCTAGACTCATAATAACCTCGACATGCATGATCACACATATCTTGTTTAAATAATATTTCCTGTACGTTTTTTTATCCATACCAGAAATATTAGTGAACATGTACGGCTGCGGCTATTGAATAGTTTACACCCTTTTACATATCTAGTAGTCGATTTTTTGAATTTTTACTTGAATGAATTTTCTGTTTATAGCTAGCACCAATATCTTCATATTATATTTAACAAGCTCATGCTGCTCAATTGCTTCCCATAGTTCAATTCTATTCCGTGGCGTAAGGTTTCTTTCATTTAATCTCTTGGTCAACTCTGCCTGCACATTTTTAAAGGGGTTAAGGACTGGACTCTGCGAAGTCCACGGAAGAACATTAACATGAGTTTCTTCCAACCATTCTCGAATTATGCAATTCTACTCATATGCACCGGGCAATTGTCATGTTGGAAGAGAAAAATGTTATGAGTGAATCCCTAGATAACTAATTGCAACATTATGTTGTCAAGAATATGTTTGGAATATAATCCTGTTAATTTTTTGTCTGTGTCATTAGACCAAAAGTTATCTGCATGGTTTATGAATTCATTACAAAATCATCTCCCCTTGTCAGTCGTCTCTTCAGTCAAAAAAGGTTTCCTTGCAGCTGCACAATTGATCAAATCCACTTGCTTTAATCCTTCTACGTGCTGTGCAAATATTGACCGGAAACGCTGTCTCTTAGCTAGTTTTTCGAGCTGTGACAAAAGAGGATTCTCTTAGCTAATCTACTAACACCTCATCTTGTTACTCTGTGGAGATTTTCTGCTCTCTTGAACCACCCAACCGTGCTATAAAGTGAAAATGATCCCATGTTGCTTGATTTTCTATATGCCCATATGGCACACGTTCAAATCTACAACAACTTGCCTGAGTACCCAACATTTTTCGAGTTTGGCAATTGCTTTTGTTTTTTACGCATCATTTAAATGTATTTTATGCATTTTATTTTATTTTTCAATGCGGGCGAAATTTTTGACAAGCCTTTTGATATTTAGCAAATGGCACCGCTATTTTACAGTATTACAATGTAAAAATGAAGATGTAAACTATTCAGTGACCGCAGCTGTACCCTAAACGAAATATGCGATGAACAAAACAAAGTAAATTCCCTGGATGAAAAGGATCAGTTCGAAAGGAACAAAAAAATATATTATCAGAAAGTTATCTCTTCAAATGACTCATAATGAGTTTTTTCGATTAGAGAATCATATAATTATTTGTTAGAAAAAGATAGATAGAGTCCTAGAAAAAATATTAAATCATACACGTAATAGAAAACTAGTAAAACAAAAGCAAGTGAAAGACAAAAGACAAAAAACTTTTTCAAAATTAAACATTGTTGCAAATATATTTTATGTAACAATAAAACACTGAAAACTTTGTTTTCAAACTTCCTCAAAAATTTATTTTAACTCTTATCACTACAGCTGTTTCGGCTGATTGCGTTTCTCAAGACTTGATAAATTTTTGTGAAAGTTTGAAAACAAAGTTTTCAGTGTTTTATTGTTACATAAAATGAATTTCCATCAAGTAACGGTCGAATCCATCAATATATTTTATGTTTAAATACATACCTGTATAATCTATCTGGTTCATCCTTTCTCGCTGTTCTTGCCTCCATTTAAAATACTTCACTTGGGCTTGCTGAATTTTTTTCTCTGTTTGTTCTAGAAGCTGTTGAGATTTAATTCTCTCGCTTTTGCTAATTTCTCTGGAGTCCAGATTTTTCAGTTGTGGCAATGAAGCTACTACATAATTTCTGTAACCCTCGTAGTCACAGCAAGGGTTTCCAGTTAAGTATAGATCCCTTAAGTGAATGTTGTGCCTAAGATTACAAACACTTTCCAAATCCCCTATAAAATTTAAAGTCAAATCCAATTTTTCTAACGATTCGCACCTTTCTAAATTTTCTATTTTTTCAATGTTATTAATGGCTAGGTTTAAATACTGTAGTTTCTTTAACTTATTTACATTTTCTATTTTTGATATAAGATTTGCTTGTAAATATAAAATTTGTAAGTCTTTGCACCAATTGTTAAGGTTTTCTATTTTTTCAACGTCTTCTTGATGGAGCGATAACTCTTCAAGCGTGCCAATTATTTTCTCATTGTGTTCTGCTTTTTTTCTCACCAAATCTTCTGTAATTTTAACCATCTTGGTGTCGAATAGTTGTCAGAGACTTAATTAAGAGCATTGTGTCATTATTATGTCAATACCAGTGTTGCTTAGCAACATGTAAAAGTACCAGAAATATAAGGGCAGATCATTAGTAATTGAAAATACGAGGATGGTCTGTAAGTTTTTGGCCTAATAGTGTAAATGACAATGTTTTTCTTTAAAAGAAGTTTTAGTTTTCTCCAACATATTATATCATATAATGATGTCACATAACGAAGTGTCCAAGAAAAATATAAAGCTTCAATTTTATATCAAGAAAGAAACAAGAACAATATTGTCGTGAAATAGAAAATAGTATCCTGTGTGGTATTTTCCATGCTGTGGAAGTCAAGAGCCTGATGTATGAACAGGAGCACAAAGTGTGTATCATATGTAACAATAAAACACTAAAAGCTTTGTTTTCTTCCACAAAATTTATTTTAACCTCTTATCACTACAGCTGTTTCGGCTGATTGCCTTTCTCAAGTGATTTATTTTTGGCATGCGTTTACACTTTTAGTCTCTAATGAAATAAGTGTTTTTTAAATTGTTGATTTGGCCAACTCTTGTTATTGTGACCCCGAATGGCTGTTTAGTTTCCAACTAGAGACGGGTTACTATAGTTTTTTATTCCCACAATTCGACCAAATATTTAATAAAAATTACCCTACTGTGTTGAGTAACTCTTACGTTTTAAAACGGCATCAATTGTTTTTGGCTTGGTGCCTACTAATGTTTTACAGTAATCTGGTTGAAAGTTATTCCAAATTTCCTGAACTTTAATTCAGAAACGGTGCGAACTGATTTAGTTCGAAGTGCTTTTTGCATCTGATGCCAAAGATAGGGGATAGACCTAGACTTTGAACTTGAAGGACATTTTAACAGGAATATTATCCTGCAACCGGCATATTATCAATGAAAAGATGTCCAACTCCTTGAGTGTATATACAGTCTCAGACCATCAAAGATGCCGGAAACTTCACCTTTCTTTTGAGGAAATCTTTGTGGTATTCTTCCCCTGGCATTTTATAATAAATAACTATACTTCGTGTAGCGACAACACAGACCTCAAACTTAGATTCATCACTCCAAATAACTGAATCCATTTACACTGAATTCAATTTCGCTCTTTTGCCCATAAAATAGTTTTCTTTGTAAGAAGCAGTGTTTTTCCTTTACCTAAAGTGAGATGACAAGTTTGAATATTTAAAATCGGAGATATTACAAGTGTTGCTTGTAAAAACTTACCTTATAGAATCTATATCCCGTTTTTTCATTTTCATCAAACAAGTGTCTTTTAAAAAATAACAAAGAGGGTATTTAAACGAAAATTACATGAGAACAAACGAACGCTTGAGCGACCAACAGCACGATAGAATGACGACTTGAAGAAAATGAACAAAAACTGGATGAGAACAGAGTTGAAACAAGAGGAGGAGGTATACATTCAGTCGTGGTCGTTCGAAGTTGGATGATTAGAAAATAGAGTCTTTGAGTAGAAGTCATCGGTTGGTCTCTTCTGTTATGTAGTTTATTCAGATAGCAACCAAAAATTATGGATAACGGAAAGCCACCAACTGTTACTAAATTAATTTCCAAAATAAGTTCAATATATATGCAATGAACTTCTGCATTGGTCAGAAATGGAAACGTCTGCCTTTGCTGAGTAATATTTACATATCTGCGGAACTCTTCAGGTGATTTAAACATGTTATTGTTTTGACGGCTCATGTCTCAATTGAAAATAATATACTTACAAATTCAGGAGTTTGTTCAAATATAATTATTACGAACATTATTACGCATTAAATTGGTCACGTCCAAAAAAATGTATAAAATAAAAAAACTTATATAAAAGCTCCAATCAATGTTATTCTTGTATCTCATAATCTCATATTTTTTAGGAATACTTAGAAAGGATAGTTCGATGGCGTTTAGAACGTGGAGTTTCAGAGCAGACGGAATCGCTAGTGAGAGGCTTCTATGAAGTCGTCGACCCTAGACTAGTCAGTGTATTCGATGCTAGGGAGTTAGAATTAGTGATCGCCGGCACGGCAGAAATCGATCTGATCGATTGGAGGCACAATACTGAGTATCGAGGTGGTTATCACGACCAGCATCCAGTCGTCATATGGTTTTGGCAAGCCATCGAAAGGTAATTAATTATTATACAATAAAAGTAAGTTCTCCTGTTTTACAAAAAAACTTCCTATATCTGCAATTACAATGACCTAGTCGATATCTTAGGAAGATTTATTTGTATCCTAAACAATTACCGTTAGTAAGGTCAGAAATTTTCAACCAGGATCATTTCTAATTTTTTACCAAACACAATTTATTTAGAAACTCTAATTTGTTATTTTTTTTCTAGGTTTACCAACGAGCAGAGACTTCGCCTCCTTCAGTTCGTTACGGGCACCTCTAGTATTCCCTTCGAGGGTTTTTCTGCACTCCGAGGCTCAATAGGACCTCGAAAGTTTTGTATAGAGAAATGGGGTAAACCGAACAGTCTTCCAAGAGCACATACGTGCTTCAATAGGCTAGATCTGCCACCCTATCCCACGTCGGAGGTTCTGTATGAAAAGTTGCTACTCGCTGTAGAAGAAACTAACACCTTCGGGATAGAGTGAAGCGTCGGTACTTATCTTCACCGTATTTTAAACAGGAAAGGTTGAACCTTTACGATAATTTTATGAGTGATTCACTATTTTTAGTATTTTGTACAATAACTTCAAAGCTTTCAAAGCCAAGACGAAATATATTGTGTTAATTAAATATATTAAGATAATATTACCTGATTATGTTAGAATGTGTTAGTTCTAACTTATTATCACGATATATGTTATTCACTTCCTAAATATGTTTTATTCAATAGATCTGACAGTTTTAGCTAGGGAATCATAATTGTTCATATGAAAACAATGGTCCTTTAATTAATTTATCGCTTATCTTCTTAAGATATTATTTTCGAGTATGTAAGTTATATGTTAAAATAACTATCTAATCGGGTGCTATTATTAATTTAGCGAAAAATTACTCATGTTCAAGGAAAGGTGTCAATTTTTTGTGAATTGTTCCATCTTACATCAAACTGCATTTTATGACGTATTTCTTTTTAATTCAAGCTAACACCAGTCTTTCTGACGAGAGGTGAAACCTCGAAATACGTGTAGGAGAATGGTTGAGCTCAAATTGAAGAAGTGTAATCGTCTACTTTTTCTAACGCTTTTTCTCTGCGTAAAGATTGCAAAAGATGGTGTTTTTCAAGAGTTAATTGTAGATTTATTGCCTGAATAAACGATTGTAGCTAACATCGTCCAATACCTTCCAATAAACTTGAATTCGCTGTTCACCTAATTCGCCACCAAAGAGAAATCTCTTTGGAGGCGACTTCTTGCTGATTTACCTCCTTTCTTTCCCCATATACTAAGTTTAATAAAACCTTCGTTAGCAAGACTATGTAGAATATCTAGAGATCGTAATCATAGGATATATAGAGGTTATTCCTTTAACCTTAAAAGATATCCCAAAAACTATTATCTAAATCGCTATTGTTATTTTCATGTCACCTTCTTTGGTCTTTTAACATTAGATGCCAAAAAATTTTGTTTTGTTTGTTTAATGTTGTATTAAAAACCATGTAAAAATCACTCATAAAATTTAACGTGAATTTCAAACCCTTAATGCGATATTTGTTTTTATTTCTGTAGAAATATATTTTGTGTGTTATTTGTTACATTATGAGTTCCGAATAAGTTAATATTTAAGTTATTTGGAAGACCAATGAGGTTCCTGCGCTTTTTGAGCCAGTAAAAAGCTAAAAAAATGTTGCTATGTTTCGACACAGCCATAGTGAAACTAGTTGAAACCTTGAAAGTTTCTTATTAATAAGAATAATAAAAATATATATATCTCGCGCCGAAGCTATTTGATACCGTAGGAAGTACATTTTAAAGTGGTCATTAGATATTTTTCGGTAGCACAAAATGCTGTTTATTTGAGACAAAAATATTGCACTTTAATGGCATTTTCTCTACATTGCACGTCTAAAAAGTTCTCCCTCAATATATTTTTTGACCATAAAATTTAAATTAATAAATTTCTGGGTAATTGAACTTAGCCACTTATGCATAATTTTTATGGCGGATCGGTGACCGATTTTTAAAAATGGCAGGTTGATTCCATTTTGTATGATATTTTTAAATATGATGATATGTCAAATACTTCATTAGTAAGTTTTCCTCAATGACAGACCTTACAATTATCAGCTCTATTCAGTCTAAAAACCTCAAAATATTTTAATATTTAATATCTTCTGCGCGTCGTTTTTATTAATTATCTCAGTAAAACGTTAATAAAACTATAAATAGGTACAGTGCAAAAAATATTAAGTTGTGTTATTCAGAAAATAAAACAAGGCAATTGTTTAAAATTGAATAAAGTTTTTAGGTTTAAACTGATAATTGTGTAGGTGGCGTTAAAAAGCAATTGAGACTAGCCTTTAAATGAGGTATTATTTGCAATGTTATCCCTTGTACAACATCTTATATGTTAGCCATTATTGTTCAACCATTCATAATGATTATGTTATTGAATCTTCATAAAGAGTATGAACAGGGATCTTGAGGTTAGTAAACCAGAAATGTATTAATTCATGAATGTGTTGCTTGTGTGAGTCCATTTCAAATAGGTAAAGAAATAATAAATAAGACTTACTCACAATCAATTTAATTTAACTATCAGACGACCGGTTTCGCTTTCTACAATATGCAAAGCATCTTCAGGTCTCGATACAAAGTTAAACAAATGATGCCGGTACTCTATTAATAGATGGATGGTAGAACATGTTTGAAACTACTTTATATTGTTGAATGGAGAACTCAATACTATTATTGCAGTTGTTTGACAGTAAACGGGAAGTTCTTGAGGAGATAGATTTGATCCAATGAATTTGAGATATGTGTGAGATTGTTTGTTAAATGTAAGTGATGTAATATACTATTGTGTTATTCCAGAGATATATTTTTGAAATGTGTGTTATTTATTGAGTAATTGTTTTATGAAGGTGACATTTTATGACAATGAATAAGTGTAGATGTAAAAATTGTGTGGGTGTGCAATTATTTTCAAACTTGTAGTTATCAAATTACTTTGATAAAGTTCTATTGGCAATGAGTTAATTATTGGAATAGTCAAGTGAATAAAATGGTAAAATACAAACACTTAAGGATAATTTAAACACACTAAAACAGAAAACACTTAGAAGGAACGAAACAAACATTGAATTTAAAAGGGGGAAGGACTTTAATGCACTACATCATAGGCTTGGGCACAATGAGTTTTTTTATTGTCATAAAATGTCACCTTCATGAAAAAATTACTCAATAAATAACACACATTTCAAAAATATATCCCTGGAATAAGTATAAATAACTTTTAATAACACAATAGTATATTACATCATTTACATTTAACAAACAATCTCACACATATCTCAAATTCATTGGATCAAATCTATCTCCTCAAGAACTTTCCGTTTACTGTCAAACAACTGCAATAATAGTATTGAGTTCTCCATTCAACAATATAAAGTAGTTTCAAACATGTTCTACCATCCATCTATTAATAGAGTACCGGCATCATTTGTTTAACTTTGTATCGAGACCTGAAGATGCTTTGCATATTGTAGAAAGCGAAACCGGTCGTCTGATAGTTAAATTAAATTGATTGTGAGTAAGTCTTATTTATTATTTCTTTACCTAAATGTATTAATGTTACCTGTATGGATCAGAAAATATGTGTGCTCAGGGAAGCCGCCCACTATATGTAATATCGTTTTAAATGAAATGTCTTAATTAATTTAGAAAAATGAGTAATTCTTTATTTTAAGATCAGTTAGCTATGTACATATCCCAAATATCTAATAGTATATAAGTGTAGAACGTATGCTTCAAGTTAGTATAAACTGTTGATGCTCAATAAACGTATACATTTGATTTTAACTCTGCTAGACTTGACTACGGCTAGTTTCGCCCCTCCCACCATATGCGTTTTAAAACCTATACTTGATATGCAGTATTTTTGTCTCCGATTTTATTCATAAAATTTACAGAACGTAGCAATATTTGACTACAAAAAATATATTTTGACAATACATTACTTACCAAATAATAATTTTAATGTTTTCTTTGTACATACATGTTATTATGTATAGTTTTTGATTAGTTAAGTTGTGCACATTTAATTTATTTCGATTATACTTTTTTGTTACAAATTCAGTCATAATTTATTAACAAATGTCTTATGTTTATGAATATTTAATAAAGCTATACAGAACGGTTTTCAACAAAATCGCGACAGAAGTATTTTTGGTATGTATTTTCTGAATAAGATCACTTTTAATGAGATTTGATAATTGGATTTATTCACAATAACAGTTCATATAAAAATATATCTTGAGGGCTGCTCTGTATAGTAAAATTATTTTATACTGGTATTTTAGTTATAGAGTTGCATTTTTCGTGGTAGGTATAAGTAAATATTGTAATTAGGTTATTAGATTTCAGTCAGGCAATTTATATATTTCGTCTTTTCTCGTACCGTGGTTCAAAACACTTCAATATATTACTCTTTTATTTCAATTACTCTACCATGATATTCTTCTGCGTCCGATCCTGTTTTTTTTTTTTAATTTTGCCCTTTTTTGGACCTCCTATGAATGACTTAAGACGTTGTGAGTACTACGTTATTGATAATTCGTTTCATCCATGATACCATGAAGTTATGCCTTAAGAGTGTCAAGTGTCAAAATATTCGCCAGCGACCGCAGGAGGATGAAAAAGATAGGTTTTTGAAAAACTTTATTTAAAAACGGTAGTGACTAACAATAATTGAAAATAAACATTATATAGAAGCGTTTACACTTACTTACACTTACTTACACCAAACACCAAGCAAAAAAACGGCTAATCCGCTTAATGCAATTATGAGTCGGTTATCCCTAAAATTAGCAAAATATCGCTACCTTGGAAGAAGTCCGTCATGTCAAAATGTTCAGAAATGGCCATTTAAAAAATCGATAAGTTTTAAAAATATCAACACTACCCATAACTGCGAACAGGCTAATATTTTGGATTTGTTATGTACTAATCTGTTAAAAGATATAGCCAATCTCATACTTCCTTAATCCTATTTTTGGCCATACAATTTTTGATTTGTGGCGTTCTTTAAAAAAGTATGATCGGTTTTTGGAGATAATTCACTTTTTTTGTTAAAATAATTATTGTTTTATGTGTTTTTTTACAAATGTATAATTTTCGGATAAAAATACGAATCAAGACGTAATCGTGTAAAAAAACTGTCATTCTGCAAGGAATTATAGTTAAAAAATGCTTGTCTTCATTTGAAAATTGATTCTTTAATTTTAAATAATGCACTCTCTTCATTGTTTTTGAGAGCCATGGGAAAAAACTAACTAAATGACTTTATCATACAAAAAAATATAGAATATTTAAAATCTGTTCACTAACATAGTCCACTTTTCACTTTTTTGAGATATGATCTCAATATTTTGACTTCCTCCATATTAACATAAATGACATTTTATATTTTATCATACAAAATTAATTTTGTGAAATATTTTGTTCATATTTTAAATACTTTCTTATTAGGTGTTTTCGATGTTTGATTATAATTGTCATATCATTAATTCAAAACATATATTTTAGAAATTCTACTGAATCGTATTCACGAAATAGAACCAAATTAATTGTAAGTTTATAGTCGGTGGTATATGCATTATTAGATACCAAGGTCCATCAGACAAAGCGTCAGTAGCCATTGCGACGACACAAGTAACAGTACTGATGATGTGAATTTGCTTTCTGTTTGTTGTAAACTTTATTTAAGTAAGTTATCTTTATCAGAAGAGAAATTCTAAAAATAATTTTATATGATATTGTCCTGTATATTGCAGTTTAATTTCACTAATATCAAATAATATTTTTGAATACTTTTAATGAATAGAAATAGAATATACATGTTGTGAACACATTTTGTTACCGATTAATTTGGAATTAACTGTGCGCTTAAATTGATTTCATTATTTTTTAATATTACTTGCTAAGATACAAAAATAGAGTTGGTGGGATTGTTTAAGGGAGTATAGAGAACTATTCTTTTGTTACTTAATGAAACTATTTTGGTTTAAATCGGTAGAAAAGATGAAGGATGAACTAAAATATTCAGCATTATTCGTCCGTTAACAATTTTATTGTAATGGTACTCGTAGAACTTCCTGACTTAATTCCTTCGTCCCATAATCTTCATCCCATTAACTATCCTACGATAACATCTAGTTATCTTTAGATAACATGATTATTATAATGCATTTACCGGACTAGTAACGGTAATTAACAACATGCCTCATAAAATTTTGACAGAACAAAACAGAATTATCTATTTTACCTACTTATAGAATTATTTAAGTAATGTCAGTTTCACAATCAGTTGTTTTGACTGTAAAAAGAAACTATCATTACCAAAATTTGTTAAAAAAAAACTTACAAATAAGAGCTAAATCAAATAGGAATCAGTAAAAAAACCTAGAAAAATGGGTCCCTTTTGCATGCTGTAAGATCACAATCTCGGAATCATAGGGATTAGACTGTGTTTTCCGGTTACGTCCAGTGAGAAGTTGCCTCTGATTGTTTTGAATTTTGTACACGCTCCTGTTTTTTATATATATTATAATTTTATATATATTATATATTTTAAATATATTTTTCGTCTTCGTCTATCTAATCTGTGAAACAATTTTACTTACTCTTTTATTTTTTCTTCAGTTCTCGGAATTTATGTTTCTGTTCCTGTATAGAACAAATTTGTCAAACCAACATTTAAAACGTATCAGGGTAGAATGAAGAAGAAAAAGTACTTGTATTGTTCAAAACAGTTACATCTGTTTTACAATATTTTATAGAATTAATACCACATAATTTGATTTAAAAATTTATAATTTATTTAAAGAATACAAAGAAACATTTCTAAATATCTTTGCTATTTCCTTAATTGTGGGTATTATTTCCAAAAAAGTGTGTTACAATTATTAAAATTAGGTTTTCATAAACTTTCGAACTGATATTAAGGATGTCATTAGTAAGTTTTATTATAATGAGCATTAACTATCCTATGATAAAATCTAGTAGAAATATGATTTCTAGATTTTTTGTAGTATTTATTTAGTATCATTTACCATGTTCTAAATATTTATCTACTTCGAAAAATGCAGAATAACTTGACTAACATGATTCAAATCCGGTCGCTAAGAAGGCTGGTAGAATCATTTCCCGAATTTAATGTAGTTTTTTCGTATGAGATTTTTGATATTCTGTTGCGTTAATTTATTATTTTATAATTTGTAGTCAGTTACCAATGATTATTCTTTTTAGATAATATTTAGATTGTTAATTTGTAATAATGTTGTGATTTGTTAAATTCTAGTCAGTAAATATATATATTCAGTTGCGTAAGGCACATACCTGTATATTACAAGCCGTCTCTAATTATCGGAAATTAACTGCCGAGTTGATCATAACTTTTTGCTAATATGGTTTGTAACATTCCAAAAAATAAAGAAGATATTTGTTATGCATATTGTTTTATTTGTTTAACATACTGCCAATACATATTCCAAAACAGAAGATAAATATTGTAAAAAAATAAAGTAATCTAGAAAATTTAACTTATATGAAGGTAGTTAAAAAATTGCACTTCATTATCACAGTTCTTATAATGTAAACATCAATATTATTAAAAGCTGTAAGTTATAAAAAAATTATTTATTATTCAACTTACATGATAGCGAACTTAGTTAAAACAAATTTAGTGCTGAGGTTGGTAAGACCGGGGTGTGGGGTGCCATAGACATAACCATAGATATTAAACTAGTGATTTTGCCCGTCACAATGCGACGAGGGATTCAGTCAATTGCCGTTTACGCTCATGCCATCTATACTCCACTTATGCTTTTCTGTTTTGCTCCTATTAGAAATATAAAGGTAAGCGTATACTGTAGATTTTTTAGGTAGATGTAATCTAGTTAGAGCGCATCTTCACACTCTCTGTAGCATGACAATTTAAACTGTTCGTAGTATGCATTTTTAGATTTCCGTATCTATCTATTTGTTCAAGTAATAGACTCAGTCCCCTCTAGGTAGACGTGACACACACAACATAATAGTTTCGATCTGGTTATTTCTTTACTTTTAGATGGTAGACAACGAAAGTGATAGTAAGAAAGTGAAAGAACTGGTTCCCATTAAGTGTGGTTAGAACAAAACCTTACAATATAAAATTACGAACTGTATCCCGAACTGTGGGACTGTTAGTATAAAGAATATCGAGGTCAAAAAAGCTAAAGTTTAAGGCCGTTCCTTGCGTTTCTGGGCATACCTAAGTTCCAATGTAAAAGTTTATATTAAATAACGCAAAAACTATGGCAGATATTGAGACGATTCTTTTTTTATATGAAAGGTCTTAAAAAGTTCTAGTGCACTATTTGGTTGTAAATTAATAATTTGTTTAAACAATATTTTTTTTCAAATATTTTTGGTTAAAATAAACGTAAAAATTTTTTTTTGAAATAGGGCACTACAGAATTTGACCCACTTTCCGAATCTGTTTTTATTTTTAACATAAAGTGTAACACAAAGCAGCTATTTGGTATAAACTTTTTTTAAAATCTCAAATTTTGCTAAATGTAACTTTCTCCCTCGGCCAGTACAGGCTGTCCTTGTCGATAGTCCTGGATTCTCGCCGACACGGTAGGTTGGTTAGGTAAGAAGTATAATACCCTCTCGAAGGTGGGTCATAAATAATGTTGAATAACATTATTAGGGTTTATTTCGACTTTTGACAAACCAGTGTGTTAATTGTTTTTAAAATGGGTAGTTCAGGAAGACGTTTATGTTCCGATTGAGGAAATTTTATATAAATAAGCAGTACCTATAATATGTACCTATAATTTGATTGAATTTTTATATGAATAGAAATATTTTCTGTTCATTTGTAACATTTTCCTTCTAAATGTTTATACTGTTTTTATAATAATACTATTGTTTCAGTATTTGCTTATATAATAATAATTTATTATGTAGAAACAGCGTAGAATTTTGGTCAATCAGCCAGTACATTTTTTTGTATTTCAATCAGAATTATTATTTTCTTTTCTTCTTTACATAAAAGCTTAGAGTAATACTCAAATATTTTGCAGTATTTGAATACGGAATTTGATTATTTATATTTATTGGACAATACCCAAATATTTTGCTGTATTTGAATATGGAATTTGATTATTTATATTTAGAGGAATATTTATTTTCAACGTTTTTGTTAGTAAAGTTTACATAATATATGAAGTTTGTTTCTTCACTTGCTTGTCCAGCCATATTAGTCCAGGCTAATAAGGATTTTCTCGTGACACTCAATAATCCAGGTAGCTGACAACTTTTTTAGTTATTGTAGACCTACAAAAAGAAAATCTACCTGTTTCCTGCGTAAAGTTCGGAGCCTTTTTTTAACGATTAACAATTAATGCAAAAAACGCGATTCTTTCGATTTTTGCACTCTATTATTTATTTATTTATTTTACGCACAACAGGCCGTTAAGGCCTAGAGCATTTTTTTTACAACATAATTCTAATATTAACTAATTACAATTATTTTAAACAAAACTTTAACTTAAATATGTATATATAACATTCTTAACTAGTCTGAAGGACCTGGTGTACAATATTTTTCCATTCGCTTCTATTTTGTGCTTTTTTTTCCATTCCCTCACCTTCACGTGTTTAAGGTCTTCCTCCGCTTTACTAATCCACCTCGTTCTGGGTCTACCTCTTGTTTTGGGGCCGATTAATTTTCTGGTTATTACTAGTTTAGGAATTCTGTTTGCTGCCATTCTTTTCACATGTCCCAACCATCTGATTCTTTGTGCATTGACGAACTTGGTAATAGTAGGTTCTTTGTATAAAGCCATTAATTCATTGTTGGTTCTTCTCTCCCAACCATCTTCTGCCTTGTGTCCTCTGAATATGCATCTCAATATTTTCCTTTCCCATCTTTCCAGAGTATCCTCTTCCTTCTTATTTAATGTCCAGGCTCACCGGCATATGTTACTGTGGGTCGAATTACTGTTTTATATATTCTGAGTTTACCTTGTCTAGAAACGTATTTTGAGTTCAGTAGGGCTCTTAAACCACCTAATTTTTGATTCCCTTTCGCTATTCTGGCTACGAGCTCCCATTTCTCTTTTCCATTTTCATCGAAAACTACACCTAGGTATTCAAATTTGTCCACCCTTTTAAAACTATAGCTTTTACCACTTACTGACCTCACACTAAAGTCTTCTTTTTTCCCTTCTGTTCCTTCCATGATCATATATTTAGTTTTGTCTTCATTTAGTTCCAATCCAAATTTCTGTGCTTCTTCGATGATTTTCTTCACAACTCTTCTTAATTCTTACTCGGTTTTTGCTAGGATCGTTAGATCATCAGCAAATGCCAAGCACTGGTGCTCATTTTTCATGATCGTTTCTTCCATCCTCATGCTGCATTTTCTGATTACAGTTTCTAATACTAAGTTGAATAATGTAGTGGATAAAGGATCTCCCTGTCAAAAGCCTTTTGCAACCGTAAATTGATCTGTTATGTGACCCTGCCAAGCAGGGTGCTAACAGGTGAAGATGCTAACAGAGCAATGCCTCTATAGTTCTTACAATCCAGTTAATCGTCCTTTTTATGCAACGTATATTATTTCATTTAGCCACTCTTCTGGTACAAATTTTGCCACATTTTGCCATATAAGTACTATTAGTTTATGGGTTACTGCAAAAAGTTGATCATCACCTTTTTTTATATATTTTCCAACAGATTTAATCGATTCCTGTGGCTTTATTGTCTTTGAGTTTTAGGACGGCATTTGACACTTCTATTATTGTTGGGTGTTCACTGTGTAGTTGTCGATGTAGATTTTGTTGATTGTCTATGTTGTAACCTCTTTCAATATCGTGTATATCATATATTATATAAATATATATATATATATATATATATATATATATATATATATATATATATAATATGATATAATAATAATGTACTTATTCTTCTTCTTCAAGTTCCACTCCTATCGGAGATTGGAAATCATTCTGGCAATTATCATTTTGTTGGATATGCGCCTGAATAGTTCAGTTGAATTGCATCCAAACCATTCACGGAGATTGCGTAACCACTAGATTTTTCGTCTTGATGTGTGATGTATGATGTGCCCCAAGTATTCTAATTTCCTGATTTTTATGGAATTTAAAACTTCGCATTGTTTTCCTAGTTGTTCGAGAACTTGTTCGGTTGTTTTGCGATCCATCCATGATATTTTCAAAACACGTCGGTAGCACCACATTTCGAATGCTTCTAGGTTTTTAATGTTGGATTTTTTAAGTGACCAAGCTTGAATTCCATATAAAAGGGTAAAGAAAATATAACATCAAAGCATTCTTATCCGGAGCGATATATTGATATCTCGATTACAAAAAAGTTTTCTCATTCTATTAAAAGTTGACCGTGCAATTCCAATGCGGCATCTTATTTCTTTTGTCTAATCAGTATCTTCTGTGATCCATGCTCCAAGGTATTTGTACAAAGATATATTCAATTTCTGTATTATCTAGTACTAGCTTAACTTTGATGCTTTGTGCTTTTGTAAATACCATGAACTTGGTTTTTTTCAAATTTATTTTTAGTCCAAAAAATGTACCTATAATATGATATAATCCTTATAAAATGTCTTCAATTCGGTTATTCCATTGTTCTTTAAGTGTTCTTTAAGTTCTTTCGAGCTCATTAAGTTTCTTATTCCTTCCATCCGTGTTTTCTAAGGTAATCCTCTCTTCTGGATTACGGTAGGTGTTCATACAGGTACTTGTTTTAGGAGTCTACTGTCTTTCATTTTTTGGACCTGTACCCATTTGAGCTGCTTTCGTTGTATGCCATCCATGACTGTACCTTCTATTCTCATACTTTATTGCATTAAGTTCGACGAGATATCTTTCTTCGATATTAATCTGTCTCTGTTAATCGTCGTGTTTCACAACCGTATAAATTAAGCATGCTTTTTACCACAGTTTCATGGGTTGTAGTGCTAGAGAGAGCATGTCAGCTGTGCCAAAACGAAAAATAATCCTCCTTATTGCTTCCACTGGAATAAGCTTGACCATTTAACTGGGCCCGGGCTACCTCTTTCTAATTCTTTAAACTCCTGTTTTGAAATTAATAATTATTTTGTCTAATTACCTATTTAGTTGTCAAAACAGATACATTGTTAACTAAAGAAGTGAAAGTGGTTCAATTTAGAAATTATATAGTAAATAATAAATATTTGAAAACTGATGCACATATTCCTCCCGCGATTTATGCTTCAAGTACTAATTTTATAAATCGCACTTCTACTAATAGACGTAAATTCTTTCATTTTAATTTCATGAATGTTTTTATTCAACATTATTTCAAAACCGCACTGAATCGAAGGCCGCCCACTCGTTTATTGTATAGACCCAAGACTTTACACAATAGGGGGTTGTATAAGGTAGGTA